GACCCTCAGTCTCTACCCAAAGGCACTCAGCTTTCTCGCTCCGTGGGCCGGAAAGCCCACTGCATCATCTCCTGTGGGTCTCTGTTGCGGGTCTCTCCTTCTTTGGTGGTGGTGGGCTCTCTTCTCTGCTCTGGAATTGGCTCTCTTTCAAGGCAAAACTGACCAATCCCCTCAATGGGCCAGAATTACCTTATTTGCACAGCCCCACTCAATCACCCGGGTGGGAGTCACAAGACCATGGCTAGGAAGGCCACACACAAAAGTAATTAATCACACCACAAGTATAGAGGAGTCCCTAGGTGATGCAAATGGTTAACATGCTTGGCTGCTAACCAAAAGGCTGGATGTTTGAGTTCACCCACAGCAAGCAGGCTTGGCGATCTACTTCTGAAAAATCAGCCACTGAAAACTCTATGGAGCACAGTTCTACTCTGACACACATGGGGTCGCTACGAGTCAGGATCAATTTACTGGTAACTGGTAAGAGCATAGAGAAATGAGGCTGCCCAGACTATTAAGGGGTTTTTAGGATACATCAAGAATTTGAGACTTTATACCTCACCAAAGAAGACATTCAGGCAGCTAACAGACACATGAGAAAATGCTCACAATTATTAGCCATTAGAGAAATGCAAATCAAATCTACAGTGGGTTATCATCTCACCCTGACATTACTGGCACATATTAAAAAAAAACATAAAATAGCCCAGAACAACTAGATGGTACCCAGTTACCACCACCAACTGCTCTGGCAGGGATCGCAATAGAGGGTCCCAGACAGAGCAGGAGAAAAATGTAGAACAAAATTCAAATTCCCAAAACAAAAAGACCAGGCTTGCTGGTCTGACAGAGACTGGAGAAACCCCTAGACTATGGCCCCCGGACATCCTTTTAACTCAGTACTGAAGTCATTCTTGAGGTTCAGCCAAAGATTAGACAGGTCTATAGGGCAAACAATAGCAAACATACGGGATGTGCTTCATAGTTCAATCATGCATATGAGACTAAAGGGCACACCAGCCCAACAGGAAAGATGAGAAGGCAGGAAGGGACAGGAAAACTGTACGAATGGAAATGAGGAACCTGGGGTAAAGAAGTGGAGAGTGTTGACACATCACAGGGTTGGCAATAAATGTCACTGTCATATCAGCTGTTTAATGAGAAACTAATTTGCTATGTAAACTGTCACCTAAATCACAATAAAAAATAAAATCCCCTACAAAAAAAATAGAAAATAACAAATGTTGGAGAGGCTGCAGGAAAATTAGAACTCTTATGCACTGCTGGTGGAAAGATTTTGGACATTACAAGTCAGACAAAGGTCTAATCTCTAAAATCTATAAGAAAATCCAATACCTCTACAACAAAAAGACAAATAATCCAATTTAAAAAATGGGCAAAGGAAATGAACAGACACTTCACCAAAGAAGACATTCAAGCAACCAACAGACACATGAGGAAATGCCCCCGATCACTAGCCACTAGAGAAATGCAAATCAAAACCACAATGAGATACCATCTCACCCTGGCATTACTGGCACAAATCAAAAACACCGGAAATAACAAATGTGGGAGAGGCTGCAGGGAGATCGGAAGTCTTATGCACTGCTGGTGGGAATGCAAAATGATACAATCATTTTGAAAAATGGTATGGTGCTTTCTTAGAAAGCTAGAAATAGAAATACCATACTATCCAGCAATCCCCCTCCTAGGAATATATCCTAGAGAAATAAGAGCCATCACACAAATAGACATATGCACACCCATGTTCACTGCAACTTTATTCACAATAGCAAAAAGATGGAAACAACCTAAGTGCCCATCAACAGATGA